CCCCAGCTCACCTCTGCTCCGCCTCCTCCCCGAGCACGCCGCCCCCGCTCTAATTCTCCTCCTCTCCCAGGCTTGCGGCGCCAAACAGCTGATTGGCGCTGCAAGCCTGGGAAGCGGGAGAAGTGGAGCGGCGACCGCGCGCTCGGGGAGGGGGCGTAGGAACGCTGTAAAAAAAATTGAGGGCACCACTTTTTGGCGCCCCCAAATCTTGGCGCCCTAGGCAACCGCCTAGTTTGCCTACATGGTAGCACCGGCCCTGATTACAAGCAGCCAATAACTCTGTTAAAATGTATGTTTTAAACACACTTATTGGCTACTTTTAATGTAGCGAGGTAGGAAAAAGTAATACAATTGAAAATAATCTGCTTCTATGTGTGTGCACGTACATACATATGCTCTAAAAAGCACATATAGAAAGTGGCCAAAAAACCCCAAATAAACAAAAACCAAAACCCAGCAGCTCTGAAAAATCAAGCTCACTGCGTCTTTGGGCCTCTAAAATAGACACACTTAAAAAAACCAGTGGCCACTTTTGCAAATGTCGTCCTTTCTGTGTGTGTATATATATTACCAACGGATATTTTAAATGGCTGAAATATGGACATTTAAAAATTGATAATGTGTCTGCAAAGTTTTTATAAGGACGTTTACTATATATTGGCCATTATTATATATTCATAATAGATACGCCCCTTCGGAGTACTCACATTTTATGCCAGGAGCATATCAAGATGCACACAGAAAATGTACCTAACTGATCATTCGTATAATACTGGAGCCAAAAGCCTCCTCCAAGCCAACTATTCTTACCTTCTTTTCACTTTGTCCCATAGAGGGGAAATGCACTACAACAGGGAAGAGCCATGTGGAAAGTATTTATTTGAAACTTTGGTTGATATTTACATGTGCTACGAAAGGCCACAGTGAAATTCAGGTCTTCCCGGAAGTGGGTGGAGGTGGGGACTGGACCTGGAGTTTTGGCGTAGGCCCATCTCACATGGAACCGCTCCTGAAACTCAGTGTCACATAGTTTACAAGAGAAACCAGGTGACACTTGGAGGTACGATGTGGTCTGGGTTCATTCCAACCTGTCACACCAAGTAAAGCTCAGGGTGGATGAGTGGGATTTTCAAAAATGCTCAGTGCTGGCCTAATTCTGTTTCCACTGAAGTCAACAGTAAAACTCCCATTGTCTTTAATGGGAGCCAGTCCTGCATGCTGTTGAAAATCCCTTTGAAGGCATGAGAACCAAAGCTAAAGAAATATTCCCAATGAAGCCCCCTCCAAATGCAAATTTCATGCAGAATTTGGTGGTGGCAGTGCAAGTCTCGCTGAAACCAATGGGAGGGAATTGGCTGGAATCCTGGATCGCGCTTTATACATTCAATTTAATTTATCTCTGCATTTCTACCACACTCTCCACAGCAGGGTCTGAAATGTAGCAACTAACGTATTTTTATAAATGTACTGTGTCTTGTGGCTTAATTAAAACTTTGTTTTAGGACAAATTATATGTGATTTCTCTTTTTCCTTTGGACCAAAATGGTTTGCTTTGTGTGCAGTTGTTTCCACGAGTGTATTAGGGAGCATTTATGGTATTGGCTGTATTTAATAACTTGCTACCTCCTACGGCCCTGCCTATCCTAATTACTTTGACCTAATTAAAAGAAAAAAACAACACACAACTAAAAGGCTAGTCAGAGTAGACAGAGATATACAAAATAAGTGGAGTTGTATTGGTGGCCTAAATTGCTCATTAAATCGACTTCCCACCCCGCCAGAGGACTGGAAAGGAAGCAGAAAGATACAGAGAGCGACACTTATATAGCTAGGTGGAGACATAGCTAGAAAGACAAACTAACGTGTCACAATTTTAATGACTGAAAAAAATATTATCAAAAATGCGGCACGTTTAAAATCCAGTCTGCGTAGAAAGAAGATAAAGCACCAGAAAGAACTCAGGATCACACCAATAATATCACAGGAAAACGGCACCCATTTCAGCCATGGCAAAAGAAGCTTTCACCGGTGGTTTGGGGAGTTTTTAAGGATGATCTACCTTATAGGCAACTCGAGCAGGGCATTTCTTTCCCAGGCCTAGAGGTGGGGACATGTGTCTCAGCATCTCATACATGTCAGTGTAACTGATGCGCCCGCTTGGAATTGAAGGCGGGGAGAGAGAGGGGGGGTGGCAAAAGCAGGAGGACACAGAAATCAAACCGGAACCAAAATAAAAACGGGGAGCAACACAAAGGGTGAAACGAAACCAGGGAGAGGGAAATGCAGGGGCGGAGCGGGGGAGAAAGCAGACAAGAAAAACAGATATCCGGTTAATCAGATTTCTCAGGAAAGAGGAAAATAAACAAAATAAACAGGAGGGTAAACTGTAGGATTTCTCCGCTTCCGTCCCTTTGGTTGAAACCCCGGTGTCTCCTCCTTATCGCAGAGAAATCCCAGGTTAAACGCTGACACACTAATCCCTGCGGCAGCAGTACGGAATGATTGATGTCTACGTCAATGGATGTGGAAAGGGATTGGGATGGGTAGGGATTTTGGGGGGGATGGAGGGGGGGTTTGTTTTTTTGTTTGCTTGTTTTTCAAATCAAAAAATGGTTGTATTCACCATGCCAGGGAGAGCTGGTAGGCAGAGTTATGGGACAAACACAGATGTGACATATACAATGCTTCTCTTTTCCTTTTGTGAATAAGAAGTTTTGCTTCCAATTTAGGTTAAAGGCTAAAAGAGAAAGAAGAAGAAGAAGAATCCTGTTTTGTTTTTTCTCACATGGGTAGACTACGATTGCTCGGACTCCCAGAAAAAGCTGAATCTCTGCAGCGAAACCAGACTCCTCCAACAACTCAGATTCGGATCTGGCAAGGGCAGCCGCATAGCTCCCAGCCAACCTTCGATCTGCGAGTGGGGACTGGGGAGAGGAGGTGGCCATTCCATTGTCTAACCGACTGGCTTCATTAAAAGGGTACGTTGACCAGCCTGCGAGTTTGGGAGCAGTGGAAAAAGCTAGGAACTACCGGGACTCAACAGAAGCCTTGCAATTCTGTCTCCATTGTTGATGAGTTTTGTTACAGCCAGAGTCCATGACAAATTAAATCCTCCATTGGGAAGAAGGGGCGGCAGAGCTGAAAAGCCATCCCTTCCTGGCTTGCTGCCCCTACTGGTGCTGCCGTTGACTTTGGACACAACTGTAGTGTCTGGTTTTATCTTCCCAGCTGGCTGCGTGTTAATAATACTTTGTAATTCCACAGTGCCTTTCATCCAAGGATACCAAAGCATATTAAAGAGCATTATTAATTAATATGAACCCCCCTGTGAAGCAGGGAAAGTATCATCTCCATTGTATAGATGGTGAAACTGTGGCACAAAGAGGTTAAATGAACTGGCATAGCTCATACAGCAAGTCAGGTGTAGACTCAGGAATAGAGCCCAAGTACCCTGAGTCCAAATGCTCTAGGGTGCTCACTAGACCACACTCCCAGGTACTACACAGATGGCTGATAGATGGGGGGCTGGTCTACACTGGGGGGCGGGAATCGATCTAAGATACGCAACTTCAGCTACGAGAATAACGTAGCTGAAGTCGACGTATCTTAGATCGATTTACCTTGGGTCCTCACGGTGCAGGATCGACGGCCGCGGCTCCCCCGTCGACTCCACTTCCGCCTCTAGCTCTGGTGGAGTTCCAGAGTCGACGGGGAGCGCGTTTGGGGATCGATTTATCGTGTCTAAACGAGACGCGATAAATCGATCCCCAACAGATCGATTACTACCCGCCGATTCGGTGGGTAGTCTGGACGTACCCGGGGAAAAGAAAGGAAGAGAGAAACAACTGACAAAAGCAAAAGGATAAGTGTCTATGCCTAGCCATTATCTCAGCGTAGAAATACAGCCCTGGGGTTTTTATTCCCACTTGAAAAAAGTATATTTCTGATAGATTTTTAAACCTCATTGATCATATGAATTGAACATGGAATGTACATTTTAGAGAACTATCCACAGTGGCTCCAATATCTCTTTCTTGAGTGGTAACAGATAATTTAGACCCCATCATTTTGTGTGTATAGTTGGGATTATTTTTTTCCAATGTGCATTACTTTGCACTTATCAACACTGAATTTCATCTGCCATTTTGTTGCCCAGTCACCCAGTTTAGTGAGACCCCTTTGTAACTCTTTGCACTAAGCTTTGGACTTTGCATCATCTGCAAATTTTGCCATCTCACTGTTCACCCCTTTTCCAGATCATTTATGCGTGTGTTGAACAGCACAGGTCCCAGTAGAGATCTTTGGAGGGCTCCACTATATACCTCTGTCCATTGTGAAAAATGACCATTTATTCCTACCCTATGGTCTGGTCTGTACTGCAAACCTAGACTGGTATAACTACGTTGCTCAGGAGTCTGAAAAATCCACCCCCCCTGAGCGACGTAGTTATACTGACCTAACCCCCCCATGTAGACAGTGCTGTGTCGGTGGGAGAGCTTCTCCCTGTGACATAGCTACCGCCTCTCATGGAGCTGGATTAACTATGCTGACGGGAGAGCTCTCTCCTGTCGGTGTAGACCATCTTCATTAAAGCGCTGCAGCAGCACCAATGCAGCATTTTAAGTGTAAACTTGCCCTTTGTTTCCTATCTTTTTAGCAGTTACTGATCCATGAGAAGACCTTCCCTCTGACCCCAGGACTGCTTACTTTGCTTAAGAGCCTTTGGGGAGGGACCATGTCAAAGGCTTTCTGAAAGTCCAAGTACACTATATTGACTGCATCATCTTTGTCCACACGCTTGTTGACCCCCACAAAGAATTCTAATAGATTGGTGAAGCATGATTTCCCTTTACAAAAGCCGTGTTGACTCTTCCCAAACATACTGTGTTCCATCTATGTGTCTGATAATTTTGTTCTTTGGTGCAGTTTCAACCAATTTGCCTGGAACTGAAGTTAAGATTACTGGCCTTTAATTGCCAGGATCACCTCTGGAGCCTTTTTTAAAAATTGACATTACATTAGCTATCCTCCAGTTATCTGGTAGAGAGGCTGATTTAACAATAGGTTACATATCGCAGTTAGTAGTTCTCCAGTTTTATATCTGAGTTCCTTCAGAACTCTTGGGTGAATCCCATCTGGTGCTAGTTACATATTACTGTTTAGTTTATCAATTTGTTCAGAAATCTCCTCTACTGACACCTTAAACTGGGACAGTTCCTCAGATTTGTCACCTAAAAAGAATAGCTCAGGTGTGGGGATCTCCTCCACATCCACTGCAGTGAAGACCAATGCAAAGAATTCATTTAGCTTCTCGGCAACGCCTTGTCTTCCTTGAGTGCTCCTTTAGCACCTCGATCATCCAGTGGCCCCACTGACTGTTTTGCAGGCTTCTTGATTCTGATGTACTTAAAAAACATTTGCTGTTATCTTTTGTATTTTTAGCTATTTATTCTTCAGATATTTTCTCGGGCCTGCCTGACTACACTTTTACATTTGACATGCCAGACTTTATGCTCTTTTCTGTTTTCCTCAGTAGGATCTGACTTCCAACTTTTAAAGGATGTCTTTTTGCCTTTAACCATTTTGCCTTTTTTATTCTATTGTTTAGCCATGACGCTATCTTTTCGGTCCTCTCACTGTTTTTATATTTATTTATTTTTGGGGGAGGGGGCGGGTACATATTTAGTTTGAACCTCTGTTATGAATCAAGAATTGCCTCTCCCCAGGAGAAGCTGTTCCACATGTCTAGAAATGTTATTTCTGCATATCCTCCTGAGGTGACATGTACCCAGTCAATATGAGGGTAGTTGAAATCCCTCATGATTATTGTGTTATCTGTCTTTGTTGCTTCTATAATCTCTCTGAGCATTTCATAATCACCATCACCATCCTGGTCAGGTGCTCAATATTATACTCCTACTGTCCTACTCCTATTGTTCAAGCATAGAATTTCTATCCAAAGAGATTCTATGGTACAGTTTGAGTCATTTAAGATTTTTACTTTATTTGACTCTATGGTTTCTTTCACAGACAGAGCCACTCCACCACCAGTGCAACCTGCTCTGTCATTCTTATATATATATATTGTACTCTGGTATTACCATTTCCAACTGATTGTCCTCATTCCACCAAGTTTCCACAACACCTATTATAACAGTATCCTCATTTAATGCCAGGCACTCCAGTTTACCCATCTTAGTACTCAAGACTGCTAGCATTTGTATGTAAGCATTTGTACATTTTATCAATATTCAGTTGCTTCCCTCCATATGTTATATTTAAATGGCATTCTTTTACATTTGACTGTTCCTCAGTAGGCCCTACCTTTATCTTTACCAACGTCTTTCCTATCACCTTTCCTAGACCATAGAGTTCACCCTTTAATAAATTCATCCCTAACGGAGATCTCCACTGGAACCATGTGCTCCTCTGCATCCGTCGGCTTTCCTTCAGCTCTTAGTTTAAAAAATAGTCTAAAATCTTTTTGAATATTAAATGCTAGCCGTCTGGGTCTATTTTGGTTTAGGTGGAGCTCATTCTTTCTGTAGAGGCTCCTCTTTTCCTCAAAAGGTTCTTCAGTCCTTAATAAACCTAAGCTACACCATCCTCCTCCCCCTACACCATCATCTCATCCAAGCACGATAGTACTTTGCAAGTCCATTACACTATCATCTGAGGATCTCAAAGAGATCTGTGTTGTTCCTAACGGCAGTCTCAGGCTACTGCTATTACACTGTGGCAGAGAAAGACTGTTCAGTCCCTCATCCTTTCCTAAGCCTATGTAAGCATTCCCACCCTGCTGCATCGTTAACTGGGCCCTTGAGCTAATGTCCTTTCAACTCAGGAAAGAGCAGGGATCAGAGGTTAGTCACTAAACTGAAAGTGCAACATCAGCTAAAAATCCAAAATAAAATGTCCCCATATTACTAGATTTCCTCCTCAGTATCCTGCAGAAATATTATTATGCTGTTTCTCTCTCTCATATATAGAGTGTTGCCCCTTGCTCACCCCTTCCCATCTAGACCATGAGGGATGGAAGCTTTTGAGTTCACTGTCTCATAAGGCTGCCTTTCTCCAGCCAGCTGGGATGTAGGAGTAGATGGGGAATTGATGCATCAAGGGATAAGGGGGGAGTCAATCATTCCTTTTCAGGCAA